GTTTGTCTTCCCCCCCACTTCCCATATTTTCCCATATTTTCTTGGGAATCGACGATGTATTTTGTCTGTGTTTTTTCCCCTCCTGAGCTTGTCTTCGGGACCTTTTGCGAGCAGGCACTTTGCGAGCAGTGGAGCGCGCTCGGTGAATTCCAGGAGGGCCAAGGTTGGAGATGGAGAGGGGGAGAAGGTCAGGTGGGGCGTGTCCCCCTACAGGCGGATGTTGAACAAAAAATGAAACAGACCCCAACAATGCCCCAAAAAAGATAATAATAATAATAATAAGAAGAAGAAGAAGAATAGTAATAATAATAATAATAATACTAATACTAATACTAATACTAATAATAATAATAATAAGAAAAAATAATAATAATAATAATAATAATAATAATAATAATAATAATGCTCAAAAAAACGTCCCCTGAAAAACTCCAAACACACACACACACACACACACAAAAAAAAAACAAAACTCCAAAAATACCACAACAATTCTCCGAAAATACTCCACAACAAAAAGTTTCTCCTGTAGAGGGACAGGCCCGACTTCGAGGATCCGGGGGGCAGGGAAGGCCAGGGGAGCGTGGCAGCGCAGCGGCGCCGGGCCCCGCCACTCCCGCACGGGGGGGCGCGGGAGCGGAGCCGGGCCGGGAGGCGGAGCCGAGGCGGGCCCGCGGGGCGGCCGAGCCGGAGGCCGGGCCAGGATCTCCAGGGCTCCCAGCTTCGCGCCTCGCGCGGCGCGGAAGCGCGAAGTGCGAAGAGCTTCGCGCGCTCGCGCCGCCTCTTCAGGGGAAAGGAGGAGGAGGAGGAGGAGGAGGAGGAGGAGGAGGAGAAGGAGGAGGGATCGGAGCCGAAGCGCGAAGCGCGAAGCGCGAAGCGCGAAGCGCGAAGCGCGAAGCGCGCGAGGAGCGGAGGCGCCCGAGCGGAGCCCGCGAGGCGGCCGAGCCAGAGGCCGAGCCAGGATCCGCCGGCGTCGGTGCAGCGCGATGCTATCTCCCTCCAGGGGCAACGGTATGGGGGGGGGGGGACTGGTCCCGGGGGGAGGAGGGGAGGGGGGAGCATCGACCCGGAAGCGGCGGCACATCGCCGATGGATCGGCGAGAGGCCCGCGGAATCGCCTCCGCACGCTCCTGGGCACGGCTGGGGCTCTCGGGCACCCGTCGGCGATCAGTGGGCCATTGGGGGCCGATGCATCCCCCCCCTCGTGCCCTTCCCCCCCCTACCGCTGCCCCTGCTCTCTCTCTCTCTCTCTCTATCTCTCTCTCTCTCCTGGTCCTGCAGGCTCCTGCGTCGAGTGGCTTCGCTCCTGGCTCACAGGAGGAGCTGCCGAGCGGGGCGCTCCCTATCGCTGCCCCTGATCTCTCTTTTTTTCTCTCTCTCTCTCTCTCTCTCTCTCTCCCTCTCTCTCTCTCTCTCTCTCTCTCTCTCTCCTGCGGGCTCCTGCGTCGAAGGGCCTCGCTCCCGGCTCCACGGGAGGAGCTGCCGAGCGAGGGGGCGCCTGCCTGCAGCCTCTCGCGGTCGGCCGCGCGCGGACACGCGCGGCGAGCTCGGTGCCCCCTCCGCTCTCTCTCCTTCGCTGCGGAGCCCCTCGCCGGGCGCAGAGCCTCTGCCGCCACAGTGCGCGGGGCACCTCGTGCGGCGGCTCGGCGGCGGGCGGGCGAGGGGGGGAAGCGAGAGAAGGAGAAGGCCTGCTCGGGAGGCTCGGAAGTCCACCGGCCTCTCCCGAGGAGTTTTCTCGAAGCCTTCTGCGAAGACACGGGAAGCTTCTCGGAAGGTCCGAGGGCTTCTGAGAAGTCCCGCCGCCTTCTGAGAGGGCCTTCTCCTTCTCACTTCCCCCCTCGCTCGCCGCCGAGGTTCAGCCGCAAGACCGCCTGGGGCGCCGCCGCCCCCGTCGGGGAGCGCATCCGGGCGCTCGTGGGGCACTTCGTGGGGCTCCCGCAGGCGGACGGCGGTGGGCGGGTGCCGTCGCTGCCGCCGCGGGGGGCCGGCCCTCCTCGCGTCGCGGAGGGAGCGCGGGGCGCCCAGGGAGGGACCCACGCCGGGGCCCTCGCGGGGCCCCGGGGCCGTCAGCAAGGAGCAGCTCGGGGCGACAAGCCTGTCCCCGGGGCGGGGTCCAGACCGCTGGGGGGTACTCCAGATTTCGTAACAAAGGGAGGGGGGTCTCATTTCGGGGGGGGGGCTCTTCCAGGCTATCTTGGAGGGCCGGGGGGGTCTGGGGACGATGTTTTGGGGGGTTCTCCCACGGGGGAGGTCTGAAATGGCTTGTCTTGGAGGGTCCAGACCCCCTCCCTTTTATTACGAAATCTGGAGTACCCATCGGTCGGAAGAAGTAGGTAGAAGCATGAAGTAGGAAGGCGGATACAGCAGATTGGGTTCGGGCCCGCCCGGAGAGTAACAAAACGCAGCAAGAGCATGTCAGTTCTTGAGGTAGGAAGGCGCTTGAAATAGAAAAATCACGCCGTCCCCCTCCGATGACGAAGCTCTGTGAGGAGCCGGCAGCCCGGATCGTGCAGTCGAGCCCGTAGTTGGCGCTAGCCCCAGGATCCTGGCACCGTCAGAGGCGCGTCCTCCACATAAGGGGGTCCAGCTGCAAGGGGGTGGTGCAATAGATTTGGGGCAATTGTATTGCAAATGTATTGCGCCAAAGAATTGTGTTGCATTGTTTTGTACCTCATGTATTGTACGCGAAAGCCCAGCGATACATTTGCGCCCCGGGATGTGTTGCACGCCCCAAATGGATTGCCACGCCACAAATCTATTGCACCAAATCTATGGCACCACCCCCTGGTCGCTGGACCCCCTGTTGGGTCAACCCGAGGATCCCAAGGGGGGCAGACAGGTCCTCTGGGCCCCGGGGGGGCCCCGGGCCCCAGGTCCATCGCGAGCGGCTTCCGACGGCCCTGGGGGCCCGGGGAGAGGGCCCCTGGCTTGGACGCCCGAAGTGGGTACGGCGAGAATAGGTACAATCCCAGACCCCCTCGAGTAATGAAAAAATCATGACCGGAGGTTTTTCCTAATTTTCGGCCTCTGGAGGCCCTCACCGGGCCTCGGGAGCGTCAAAAAACGACTCAGGATGCAAAGCCGGTCATGGGGAAAGGGTCGGGACCTCTGGGGGTCGACGTAATGAAAAAATCATTACGTCGGGGTTCTGGGATGCTCGACAACGGAAAAAATGGGCACAATGCCCAACAACAAGTGTTGTCCCAAACCAACACCGGCCGCTGTTGGGCAGGCGGCCTTCTGTCTCGAATGGGCACAGGCCGCGGCGGCGCGGGCAGCGAGTCCTGTTCAAAATGAACAGGAACTGCTGTTGGGCATGTGCCCTCCCCAAAATGCGGCCAGTGCCGCCTCGCTCGGCGGCGGAAATCCGCGATTTCCCATGGGAACGGGACCCGTCGCTAATCCACGCCCCCTTAATCCATGTTTGCGATCGCCTGATCAAAGATCCTAGAAATCCTAGAAACTCTGGAACTTTCTGCTGGATCCCAAGGATCCTGGAAGTCCTGGGCCGTACCATCACCATCATGACTTCTTTACTCCTCCGGGAAAACTTGGCGGCGAGCGCGGGGGAGGGGGAAATGAGAAGGCGCGGACCTTCTCAGAAGGCGCGAGGACTTTCGAGAAGTCCCGCCGCCTTCTGAGAAGGCCTTCTCCTTCTCCCTTCCCCCCCTCGCTCGCCGCCGAGATCAGGGGGCCATCGAGCCGGATGGAGCCAGATTGAGCCCAGGGTTCAGCCTCGGATTGAGCCGGATTCGGCCAGAACGAGCTGGAATGAGACGGACTGGACAGAACTGTGTTGGAGGCCTGGAAATTGGCACCAACACCAGCACAGGGGGTTGCCTCCACGTGGGAAAAATGATCCTAGATTTCGGTGTTGGTGGTAATATTTCGGTCACCTTGGAAACCAAAATATTACCACCATCACCGACATCGGGATCGTCTTCCCTCGGTGGAGGCACACCGCCGATCTTGGTGTTGGTGTCAACCTCTAGGCCTGTGCCGGTTTTCGACCATGGATATGCCACCGCCGATGCTGAACTTCACCTCCCAGGAGTTGCACCCCAATTGAGGCCCTGGCTGCGCCCAGGTCTGCGGCGAGTGCCCGCGAGGGATGCGAAGGAGAGGCCCACGGCACGCTCGTGCCGTGGCGCCCTGGGCGGTGGTCCCCTAGGTAGCCGTTCCTGGGAGCCTTCTTGAAACGCTGAGGCGTCTGAGGTCGTTCCCTTCTGGTTCCATGTCCGTTCCCGTTTGGTTCCCTTTCGATCCACGGGGGGCCAGGAGCCAGGTTCCTGGCACCCCGTGGATCGTTCAAGCCTCACCGATCGGCTGCTCTTCGATGGCCACATGCGGCGGGGGCCTCTCGGAAAAATCCTTCCGACCCCTCCGCCGCAGGACCGCCAGGGCCCGCAAGGATTTCCAGTGATGCGAACGCAGGCGCAAGTCCTTCCCGATCCTCCTCAATGATCTTGCGCGAATCGGCATCGACAGAAAATGGCCCAGGGATGCTGCCATGGTACGGTGCGTGACTCTAGTCTGTGGGAAATCGCTCCATGTCGGCCAGCTCTGGACCACTGGCGGCATTCAACCGGGAACGCCCGCGCTGGGGTCGTCGCCGCGTCGGCACGACACACACGCCTCCCGCACGACACGGAGGAGGAGGGGGAGGGAGGAGGAGGGGGAGGGAGGAGGAGAAGGAGGAGGAGGAGGAGGAGGAGGGCGGAGGAGGGCGGAGGAGGGCGGAGGAGGGCGGAGGAGGCGCCCGAGGACGCGAGGGAGGGTCCTGCAAGACCCCGAGCCCTCCCGAGGCCAGTGGGCCATGTTCCAAGGTGAAGGGAGACGATAACAGGGGGAACCGACTCAGGGAGGGAAACGTCAGGCCTGAATCGGCGATACAGTCGGGGCGTTGACCTAAGGAACCCTAAATAAGGAACGAAGCCCCTTTTTCTCATAAGTGAAACTTCGACTTGCAACCAAAAACTTCAGGAAAACATTGGGCAAGGTGTGGAACAATTAAGGAACACCGAGCCCCTCCCCAGCGAAAAGGGTTCCTTCTTCAGCGCCCCGACTGTACACCACCGATAGATCGGCGATGGCCCCCCGATAGCACATCCAGGGCGGGGTGGGTAACTCAGGCCCCCTGTCGGTGAGGAGCAAACAAGCTACAGGGGGCCGATGCGTTCCCCCCCATGGGCCTATCCCCCCCTAACGTGAAGTCGGGCGTGTCCCCCTACAGGGGGATTTTGGACGACACGTCAAAAATAGCCAAAGAGTACTCAAAAAAGTGCACACACACACACACACACACACACACACAAACAAACAAACAAACAAACAAACAAACAAACAAACAAAAAACGAACAATCGTCCCCCGACTATTTGTTGACTATTTTAGAATACTCTTCCTGTAGAGGGACACGCCCGACTTAATCCTATCCCCCCTAGCGTTACCCCCCATGAGGGCACGTGGGACACTGTCAGAACACAGCTGGCTGCAGAGCAGCAGACACACACACACACACACACAAATCGAAGGGCGTGGGCTTCGCAGGAGGACCACGGGACCACAATCGGACGGGCCCAGTGCTGCAGAGGCACCCTGCAAAGCATCAACATCACGAGCTCTGGCTGTTAAAAAGCTGGGTGAAGGCTGCAAACAGATGTAGGGGAACAAAAAGTGGCATAAACATAAGAACTCGGAGGTCCGCGCGGAATTCTCGGATCGGCGCTGGGGCCCCCTGGCGGCGCCTCCGGCACCGCCCCTGGCGCGCTCCGCGCGCCAGGGAGGGGGCCCCAGCGCCGATCCGAGAAATCCGCGCGGACCTCCGAGTTGTTATGTTTATGCCACTTTCTGTTCCCCAAAAATAGACCTGGGCGGAAGTCTCCTTCTGCTCTGGTGCCAACGGCGCCGCAACGCTGGTACCTGACAGGAGCGCAAAAACAAAATTTGCGTATATAGGAGGGCGCAAAGGATGCTGAACCGATGCGTCTTACAAGGTGTGATCCACATGCGCGAAACCTGAGAGCACTACGGGATCGCGTGTGCAACGTCACTGGGAGACCACCAATGAGAAATTGAGAAACAGATAGACAGGGAGAGATAGAGGGGGAGAGAGAGAGAGAGCGAGAACAAACAAAAAGCAAATGAGAGAGAAGAAGACACCCAAGGCTCTTCGTGCTACTCCAGAGGCGACAACAGTAGCATTCTAGATTGCCCGCTTGAAATCGCGCCAGCGCACGCTAGGGCCTCCTGGAGACTGCCCCCCTCGGCGGCGCGGGCGGCTGCGGCGGCGGCGACGGCGGCGACGACGAGAACGACGACCCCCTCTCCCTTGGGCCCCACGGCTAAGGACACCGCAGACATGAACAAGTGGAAACCCTGTCAACGACGACGACGACGACGACATGCAGGAAGTCCAGGGCCGACGAGGAAGATCGACGCGGCCGAGGGCCGACAGCGATGGCCGACGAAGGCCGACGACGACGATGGGGAATCCCAAGGTCCGCTCCAGGTTCCCGGCCAGGAGATGGCAGCTCCCGACCCTGGAGCGATCCAGCTCCTGAAGAGAGATCTGAAGACGAGGGCAGGACTGGGACAGGATCGGACCAGAATACGTCGGGGATCCCTGAGATGCGGCGGCTCTGGAGAATATGTCCGGCACCGCAGTTCTTCCAGAGCACTCCAGAAGACCCTGGGAGGGTTCCGGAGCGCTGCGGAACGATTTATCCAGGTCCTAGCCCCGCCCGAGAATACCCTGGTCGCTCCCGGGCACCGTCTGGACAGGGTTTTCGAGCCACGTGCACTGGGGCCCACCGAGCTCCTTCAAACCAAAAAACGCTGCAGAAAGGTTTGAACTAGAAGCTTGAAGTGTCAAGCTGTCTTCCGACATGCGCAGGCAGAGGAAGCTCAAGAGGCATATGCGCGCCGTTGCCTTCACTGTACTTACCACCTGGGTCTGTCGCGTGGGGCCCTCGGGTCGACCTGTTATGCGGAACCTTGGCATCACAAGAAGCCTAGCAACGGCTTCGCATTCCCTCCCCAAAACATCAGCAGACCACAAGATTGAAAGGACCCTGCGACGTACCCAACCCTTTCTAAACATGTGGCGGCTAAACCAAGTACCGCTCGACACAAGAGAACATGTTGAAGGACCCGCAGTGTGCAGGAGCCGCGAGGTCTCGGCTAGACGTGCGTACTCCCCCCACTTCGCTGGCACTCCCAGGAGCCTACGGAAGTGGCAACGCTTGCGCAATGCGCAGTCCCCCAGGGAGCTGCGAAGTCTCGGCTGAATTTGCGTACTCCCCCTGCTCCGTTGGGCCTCCCAGGAGCGCACGAAAGTGTCGACAGTTGCGCAGTCCAACGCAGTCCGCAGAACACCGCCCTGGAGCCGCGAGGTCTCGGCTAGATGACAATGGCGCACTTCGCAGCTCCCCGGGGAGCCGCGAGGTCTCGGCTGTTTGCGCGTACTCCCCCCCTCCTCTAAACCTACCCTCATGCCTTCGTGGTCGTAGCCTTGCATCCAATTAGGCAGTGCCATCGTGAGCATTCGGCAATGCCCAAACCTGCCTTTCAGATAGGGGCGCTTTCCCACCTGCGCCCCCCCATCCAAGTTTCCCCTTCGCCCCTTGGTCGACGCACATGACTGTGGCCTTTCTTTTGGTGCCTGCACACCGCCTGGCGTCGCTTTGTCGGTGCCCCTCTCTGGTGCACGCTTGACCACTATTCGCGGTTCAGTGTTGATTGTACGTCTTTTCATCGCAAAGCTTGGTTTACTTTGCTGCCATTTTCAGGGGCTGCATTTCTGCAGGAAGCCTGACAGTCAATGTGCTGTCTCAAGCCTCTCTGTCGCAAATGCTGCGTTGTCGTTTCTCCCTTCCCGTGTCCTTCTTTCCGGCTGGGCTAGCGCACGCCCGATTTGGCCTATGAGCTTCCCATGCTTACCTCCCTGGCTGCCTCCTTGAAGCCTTCAATCACGACGACTGCAATCATTCGACCTGGGTGCGGTGTCACGCCTGGGTCAGGGGCATTTGCCCGCAGGCTTTTCTGCACGTATGTTTCACCTCGTGCGCTTCACGCGTGCTTATACACAGGCGGACGATGAGCCCTCATTCCGATCCGATCCGGCCCAGGAGCCCACAAAAGTGGCAAAACTCGCGCTGTTCGTACTCCCCCAGGGAGCTGCGAGGTGCAGGCTGAATGGTCGCATTCCCCCACTCCGCTGGGCTTCCCACGAGCTCACAAAAGTGGCGACAAGTGCGCAAATCGCCGTCTCGCACGGAGCTGCGAAGCCTCGGCTACATGTGCGTACTCCCCCACCCCGCTGGGCCTCCCAAGAATCCACGACACTGGCGACAACCTCGCAGCTCGCAACCCACAGAGGTGCGCGTCAACTCCCCCGCTCCGCCGAGGGCCCACGAACCTGGCGACCGTGGCGCACTTCGCAGCCCCCAAGGGGGAGCCGCGAAGAGGAGGGGAAGGGAGAAGAATGGAGACCACAACGCTCTATCCAGAACGGGAACACGAAACAGGAGGCCTGCGAAAAACATCGAGCACGCGCCCTCGCCTTCGACAGATTGCAGCTTCAAGGGCAAGTCTACAAGGCGCTGACACAGCACAGAGTCACAGCACAAGAACTGAAACCTCTCGAGCCAAAAACACAATAACCATCCAGGAACGATCTATCAAGCACACGCACACACAAGCATACACGCACACAAACACACACACACACACACACAACCAAAACACACACACACACACACACACACACGCACTGATAAGTCGGCAGCGCAGAGGGACCTCAGGCGCGGTCGGCAGGTGGAGGTGCCAATCGCGAACGACCTTAGGCACGCACACACACACACACACACAAACAAACAAACAAACAAACAAACAAACACACACAAACAAACACATACGGACAACAATTAGCCAGGGACGTACCCAACCCTCTGCGCACATGAAGCAACTTTACATAGGACCGTTCAATACAAAAGTGAGCATTCAAGCAAGTATCGTACCCTTGAACGCATCCCCCAAGAACCGCGGGAAACAATCCAATGGCTCACACTCGCGGCATCACTCTTGCGACGTAAACCATTGGCAGGAAGCGACCGCAAACAGACGTAAGAAGCATAACGAAGCGCATTAAAGACATACGGAAGAAGGGAGAAGTGGACAAGTTATTAGCGGGAGTGTCCGCGCCGCGCGCGTATAATCGCAGGGCATAGCAGCGCTATGCGCGCTATTACACAACAGCGCCCTGCGCTGAGCGTAACAAATGAGAGAGCGCATGACCGTCGGAAGCTGAAGAGAAGCGCTATGTGCTGCGCAGCGCCCCATCACAGCGCGATCTGCGGTCTAACAGAATCGCGCGCGATATGTGACGAGATCGAGCCGCGCGCTATGGGAGATCCTGCTTTCAGATGTACGACGGATCACCGCGAGTTGTAGGCGTCGCCGCCTGGGCGTTTGAAGTAGCAACAAAAATACACAGAAACTCGGATGCAACCGCTGGCGGGCGCCGTCTTCGGTCCTACCCGCAGCTGGCGAAGCCGTGCTCGTGCGCCGACTGTGCGGCGTCATTCCTGCAGCGCTGCGCACAACCGCCGGAAACCCAAAGGCGAGCGGCCAGGACCGCCAGCGGCCCCCGGGGCCCACGAAGGCCCACAAGTCGCACCCATCATGGAACCGCGAGGTCTCGGCTGGGTCCGCGTGTAGCCCCACTCCGCGGGACATCCTCGGAGGGCACCAACTATACACCAACACCGATCCTGGCCAGGATCGGTGTTGGTGTATAGTTGGTGCCTTCCTACATCCCAACAGCCAACGAAACGGGCGACAGCGGAGCACTTCGCACCCCCCCACGGGACCTCCCGGGACGCCAAGGAAGTGGCGCCAGTGGCGCACGTCGCAGACCCCCCCACGGAGCCGCGAGGTCTCATCTGGACCCGCGGACAACTCCATTTCGCGGGACCTCCCACGAGCCCAAAGTGGCGACAGCGGTGCACGCTGCCCCCTCTAAGAAGGCACCAACTATACACCAACACCGATCCTGGCCAGGATCATACGGTGTATACGCCCTCCTGCCTTGCGCCAACGACCGATCCTGGCCAGGATCGGTGTCGGTGTATAGTTGGTGCTCTCTGCCCCCTCCCGGGGGGCCGCGACGTCTCGGCTGGATCTGCGCACAACTCCACTCCGCGGGGCATGAGCCCACGAGAGCGACGACGGTTCGGCACTTCGCAGTCCCCCAGGGAGCCGCGAGGTCTCGGCTGGATCTGCGTACAACTCCACTCCGCGGGACCTCCCAAGAGCCCACGAAAGTGGCGACAGTGGTGCACTTCGCAGTCCCCCCAGGGAGCCGCGAGGTCTCGGCTGGGTCTGCGAACAACTCCCCTCCGCGGGACCTCCCACGAGCACACGAGAGGGGTGACATTGGCGCAGGTCGCAGCCTCGCAGGGAGCAACGAGGTCTCGGCTGGGTCTGCGAACAACTCCCCTCCGCGGGGCCCCCAAAGAGCCCACGAAAGTGACGACAATTTCGCAATTCGCAGCCCCCCAGGGAGCTGCGAGGCCTCGGCTGGATCTACATACAGCTCCACTCCGCAGGACCTCCCAGAAGCCCACGAAAATGACGACAGTGGCGAACTTCGCAACCCCCCAGGGGGAGAAAGACGAGGAGGAGGAGGAGGAGGAGAAGGAGGAGGAAGAGGAGGAGGAGGAGGAGGAGGAGGAGAAGGAGCAAGAGGAGCAGGCACATGGAGGAGCGGAAGAAGAAGAAGGTGGAGACCACAGTGCTCCATTCAAAACGCGAACCCAAACACACGAGGTGTAGGAAAAACGGCGAGGAAGCTAAAGAAAACCCACGCAGTGGATTCAGCACAGGAATTTCCCCCAGAGAAGGCAAGAATGGGGCCCAAGGGGGAGAGGACACGAGGCCCAGAGAGGACAGGGCACTGAGGTCTCCCTGAGGGCCTCCGCTTAGATCCGACGCCCAAACAACATCCCATCAAGACTCTGGGGGGGGCGAATATGTGTATGAACCTCCATGCAAACAACAACAACAACAACAACAACAACAACAACAACAACAACAACAACAACAACAACAACAACAATTACTAGCACGTGGGACACACCGTTCTCACCAGTGCCAGGGTTTTCATAGGAGGCGGGCAATACCCCCACTTTGTGGGGGGGCCGGTTCAAGCTCTACCAAATTTCCAAACGACTCTTCGCCACCACCCACACCAGCTTCCCGCCCTATGACGTTCGGACACTTCACTTCGTGGCATGCGGACGACCGTGGCTACTATTCAGGGCCCCGCGGCCGACGACGACGGCGTGCGCGCGCGAAGAAAAAACGAATGTGTCCCGCATGGTATTATTTGACAGGGAGGATGGCCCTGGCAGGTGCGCAACCGTTGTTGCAGAAGTTCGAAAAAGTTGCTCGCAAAAGCCCGTTTGACAGAAATGTTTAAAAAGTGTTGGGTTTCCTACGAATCCGCAAGAGCGCGCGGGATGAAATTTTGACATTTTTTTTTGAAAAACCATTGGTTTTTGATGTTTGTATGTTTAAAATCGCTTTCGCCTACGGAAAACTTAAAATCAGGAAGGGTTTTGGAAGGATTTCGTCTTGCGCGCGCGAATGTCCACTTTACTTCATTTTTTGCAAGGGATTCTTGAAGTTTGGTTATGTTAGAACAAGAAATGCCCACTTTAGTTTATTTTTTGCAAGGGGAAACCGATCGTAACAACACAACCGGATCTGGACCAACCCGTTTTGCCTGAGACTTCCTCACGAGAATGATGAAAATGAGGCTGCGGCCTAGGCGCGGCGGGGGGGTCGTGCACCAGGGGTCCCAACAATAATTATTCTTTAGAAGTAATAATGTTCAACAACAACAACAACAACAACAACAACAACAACAACAACCACAAACATAACAACAAACAACAACAAACAACAATTATACGTAGCCACGTTCGGGACACTCCGTTCTCACCTGTGCCCGGTTTTTCATAGGAGGCGGGCAATACCCCCACTTTGTGGGGGGGCCGGTTCAAGCTCTACCAAATTTCCAAACGACTCTTCGCCACCACCCACACCCAGCTTCCCGCCCTATGACGTTCGGACACTTCACTTCGTGGCATGCGGACGACCGTGGCTACTATTCAGGGCCCCGCGGCCGACGACGACGGCGTCCGCGCGCGAAGAAAAAACGAATGTGTCCCGCATGGTATTATTTGACAGGGATGATGGCCCTGGCAGGTGCGCAACCGTTGTCGCAGAAGTTCGAAAAAGTTGCTCGCAAAAGCCCGTTTGACAGAAATGTTTAAAAAGTGTTGGGTTTCCTACGAATCCGCAAGAGCGCGCGGGATGAGATTTTGACATTTTTTTGTTGAAAAACCATTGGTTTTTTGATGTTTTTATGTTAAAATCGCTCCGAACACTAAGCTTTTGGAAGGATTTCGTCTTGCGCGCGCGAATGTCCACTTTACCTTATTTTTTGCAAGGGATTCTTGAAATTTGATTATATTAGAACAAGAAATGTCATGTTATAGTGTTTTTTGCAAGGGAAAACGGATTACAACAAAACAACCGGATCTGGATCACATCGTTTTACCTGAGGCTTCCTCACGAAAATGATGAAAATGAGGCTGCGGCCTAGGCGCGGCGGGGGGGGCGTGCACCAAGGGGCCCAACAATAATTATTCTTAAGAAGTAATAATGTTCAACAACAACAACAACAACAACAACAACAATCATTTAAGACTGGGGACACTCCGTTCTCACCAGTGCCAGGGTTTTCATAGGAGGCGGGCAATACCCCCACTTTGTGGGGGGGCCGGTTCAAGCTCTACCAAATTTCCAAACGACTCTTCGCCACCACCCACACCCAGCTTCCCGCCCTATGACGTTCGGACACTTCACTTCGTGGCATGCGGACGACCGTGGCTACTATTCAGGGCCCCGCGGCCGACGACGACGGCGTGCGCGCGCGAAGAAAAAACGAATGTGTCCCGCATGGTATTATTTGACAGGGATGATGGCCCTGGCAGGTGCGCAACCGTTGTCGCAGAAGTTCGAAAAAGTTGCTCGCAAAAGCCCGTTTGACAGAAATGTTTAAAAAGTGTTGGGTTTCCTACGAATCCGCAAGAGCGCGCGGGATGAGATTTTGACATTTTTTTGTTGAAAAACCATTGGTTTTTTGATGTTTTTATGTTAAAATCGCTCCGAACACTAAGCTTTTGGAAGGATTTCGTCTTGCGCGCGCGAATGTCCACTTTACCTTATTTTTTGCAAGGGATTCTTGAAATTTGATTATATTAGAACAAGAAATGTCATTTTATAGTGTTTTTTGCAAGGGAAAGCGGGGGGGAACAAAACAACCGGATCTTGATCACATCGAATTACCTGAGGCTTCCTCACGAAAATGATGAAAATGTAGCTGCGGCCTAGGCGGCGCAGGGGGGGCCGTGCACCAGGGGCCCAACAATAATTATTCTTTAGAATTAATAATGTTCAACAACAACAACAACCAAACAACAACAACAACAACAACAACAACAACAACAACAACAACAACAACAACAACAACAACAACAACAACCACAACCACAACCACAACCACAACAACAACAACAACAACAACAACAACAACAACAACAACAACAGAAGGGCGCTGCCCTCATCTTCGCCGTGCCTCCCAGGAGCCCACGAAAGTGGCGACAGCATCGCAGTTCGCAGCCACCCAGGGAGCTGCGAGGTCCGCTGGGCCCCCCAGGAGCCCACGAAGGTTACAACAGTTGCGCAGGTCAAACCCCCCAGGGAGCAGTCGGGTCTCAAATAGGTGCGCGTGGCCCCCGACGCCGATGGACCTCCCAGGAGCCCACGAAAGTGGTGACAGTTGCGCGGTTCGCAGCATCCCAGGGGGCAAGTTCCCAAATGAGTCCACGTGCCCCCCGACTCTGCTGGACCTCGCAGGAGCCCACGAAAGTGGCGACAGTTGCGCAATGCGCGGCCACCCAGGAAGCTGCGAGGTTCTCGCATGGGTGCGCGTACTCCTCGACTCCGCTGGGCCTCCCAGGAGTCCCCCAAAAAAGTGGCGACGGTTGCGCAGTGCACAGCCCCCCAGGGAACAGCGACTCTGCTGGACCTCCCAGGAGCCCACGAAAGTGGTGGCAATTGCGCGGTTCGCAGCCTCCAAGGGAACTGCGAGGTCCTGGCTGGATGCGCGTACTCCGCTACTCCGCTTGGCCTCCCAGGAGCCCACGAAAGTGGCGACAGTTGCGCGGTTCGCAGCCAGCCAGGGAGCTGCGAGGTCCTGGCTGGATGCGCGTACTCCGCTACTCCGCTGGGCCTCCCAGGAGTCCATGAAAGTGGCGACAGCATCGCAGTTCGCAGCCAGCCAGGGAGCTGCGAGGTCCTGGCTGGATGCGCGTAATTACTCCGCTACTCCGCTGGGCCTCCCAGGAGTTCACGAAAATAGCGACAGCATCGCAGTTCGCAGCCACCCAGGGAGCTGCGAGGTCACGCCTGGATGCGCGTACTCCGCTATTCCGCCGTGCCTCCCTGGAGCCCGCGAAAGTGGCGACAGTTGCACAGTTCGCAGCCACCCAGGGAGCTGCGAGGTCTCGGCTGGGACCGCGCACTCCGCTACTCCGCCGTGCCTCCCAGGGGCCTACGAAAGTGGCGACGGCTGGACAGTTCGCAGCCATCCAGGGAGCAGCGCAGGAGGAGGCAGGAGAAGGGGGGAGGAGGAAGAGGAGGAGGAGGAGGAGGAGGAGGAGGAGGAGGAGGAGGAGGAGGAGGAGGAGGAGAGAGGGAGAGGAGGAGGAGGAGGAGGAGGAAGAGGAGGAGGAGGAGGAGGAGGAGGAGGAGGAGAGGCAGGAGGAAGGGGAGAGGAGAGGAGAAGGAAGGAGGAGAGGAGGAGGAAGAGAGAGGAGGAGGGAAGGAGGGATGAGCAGGAGAGGAGGATGAGGAGGATGAGGAGGAGGAGGATGAGGAAGGAGGAGGAGGGGTGAGAGGGAGGGAGGAGGAGGAGGAGGAAGAGAGGAGGAGGAGGAGGAGGAAGAGGAGGAGGAGGAGGAGGAGGAGGAGAGAGGCAGGAAAAGGGGAGAGGAGAAGGAGGAGGAGGAGGAGGAGGAAGAGGAGGAGGAGGAGGAAGGAGGAGGAGGAGGATGATGAGGAGGAGGAGGAGGAGGAGGGAGGAGAAGGAGGAGGAGCTAACAAAAACAAAAGCGGCGGCGTCAGCGTCGGCGGGCTGCCGACGGCGGGGAGCCTTCTGGACTGGTGCTCGCGGGCAGCGCCCCGCTGTCTTCGCCTGGCGGGGGGCACGAAGGCGGGGGCACGAGCGCGGGGGGCGGAGGAGCGGGAGAGAGACCCTGGCGCGTCGTGGCGGCCCCGGCGTTGGCTTCTGGCACCGCGCGGGCCGTTCCGGTTCCGCCTCGAACGATCGGCGGCGTTCTGGATCGTCAGGTCGCTCCCGGGTCGGCCGACTCTGGGCCACCGGCGGCGTTCCACCTTGAACCCCGGCGGCGGGGCCGCCGCCGCGTCGACACGACACGAGCCCACCGTGGCTCGCCTCATTCCGCGCATCGCGCCCCGCGATGCTAGGCGCGCGGGTCGCCTCCGCGCCCTCGCGCCGCCGCCCTGGCGAAGGTCGCGCCTCCAGCCCAGGCCGCGACGCGCGGAGCGCGACCATCTTCGCGCCCCCCTGGAGGCGACCCATGCGAGGGCCATGCCCGCTCGCGCCGGGAGATGGGGGGGGCGCCACAGTGGGGTGGCGCCGCCACGTGGGACCCTGCCACCGGGGCCTGCGGCTGATCTCCCTCTTGGGGGCCACGACCCGCGTGAGGGGTGCGCCACAATGGGGCGGCGCCGCCACGAGGGACCCTGCCACTGGGGCCTGCGGCTGATCTCCCCATGGGGAGGGGCGCGCCGGGCCCGCATGAGGCGTCCGGCAGCACCGTCCGTCGAGCTGGCCTGGGACGCCACGCCGCAGGACCTCCTGCAAGCTCAGGCACGCGGCGACGGCTGCGCGGCGGCCAGCGCCCAGGGGGGGCGAGGCCTCCTCTGAATCCGCGCCTGCACACCGCTCCACTGGACCTCCCGAGGGCTCGCGAATGGCGGCCGCTGCGCGGTTGGCCCCCACAGGAGGTCCCTCCGCTGGACCTCCCAGGCGCCCGCGAGAGCGGCGGCGGCGGCGCAGTCCGCAGCACCCAGGCGGTGCGGGGCCTCGTGCGGGTGCCCGCAAGGGTTCCACCAAAAGTGGAAATCGTTGCGCGGCCGCCAGCAACGAGTCACCACGACGCCTCGTTTGTATCGCCGCACGACGTCGCTCAACTGGACCTCCCAGGAGCTCGCGAAAGCGGCGACAGTGGCGCAATCCGCAGCACCCAGGGAGCACGGGGCCTCACTTGGATGCCCGAAAGATTCCACCGAAAGTGGCAGCAGTTGCGCAAGCGCCAGCACCAAGCCAGGACGACGCATGGCTTATGCCGCCGTACAACGTTAGCCTGCTGGACCTCCCAGGAGCTCACGAAAGTGGCAACCATTGCGCTATTGGCAGCACCCAGGGAGGGCGAGGTCTGGATCCCCGTAAGACTTCACCCCCGTGAACCTCCCAGCAGCTCAAAAAAAAATAGTAACGATTGCACTGTTGCGGCGAGGCTTCGCTTGGGTCCCTGTGGGACGTCACTCCGCTGGACCTCCCAGGAGCACACGAGAGCGGCGCCACTGCGCACTTGGTAGCACCCAGTCAGGGCGAGGATATATATATATATATATATATATATATAGTTGGATCTCTGTAAGACGTCACTCCGTTGCACCCACCCCCCAGGACCTTACGAAAGTGGCGACGGTTGCACTGTTGTCAGCACACTGGAAGGACCACGCCTTGCGTGACTCCCCGTAAGGCATCACTCCGCTGGACCTCCCAGAAACTCAACGAAGTGGCGGCGTTGTGCAGTCAGCAGAAATCAGGGATGGTCGCAGCGCAGGTTAGCAGGCAGGATGCAGACGAGGGGGAGGCAAGCTAGGTGAAATCGCGCAATATCTGACATCCTACCCCGCCCCCCCATCCCTTCCCACGGCGCTGTTTCTTCTCGATCTGCGGACGCGTGACATGGCGGACCTGGAACTCAAAAGAGGACAGCATCGTGTTATCCGCAATGGGAACAAGGAAAGCTGTGTATGTTGGAGAGGGAGGTGGCGGATGCGCAGGAGGATAAGCAGGAGAGGCAAAGTGAGGAGGACGAGGAAGGAGGAAGACGCGGACGAACAGCAGCAGCAGCAGCAAGAGCTGGAGTGGAAGGAGCAACAGGAGTAGAAGGACCAGCGAGAGGCGGGGGAAGGGAAATTCAGGGGCGACAACGATCAGAAAGGACCCAGGTCCAGAAAAGTGGTCCGCCGTGGAGCGAGAGCGCCCTTCTGAACGACGGGAGCAAAGCGCCGATCCGAAAATGAGGCCCACGCTGCAACGGGAGCAGAATTCTAAAATGCCGAAAGCAATCGGATTGAACATCGAATTGCAAACGAATCGCATTCCCATGCAAAATGAAGCAGCTCGCACGAATCTCCAGGCAGCGTAGGGACCTTGACGAGCGCCGCAAACTGATCGAGCAACCGAATCGTGAACGCCATCCATGCACGGGGCTTCTCAGACGGACCCGACAACTTCTGAGGCCCCGTAAGATCTGGACGCCCGAAATGGGTACGGAAAGAATGGGTACAATGCCCAACAACAAATGTTGCCCCAAACCAACAGCGGCCGCTGTTGGGCAGGCGGCCTTCTGTCTCCAATGGGCACAGGCCGCGGCGACACCGACAGCGAGTCCTGTTCAAAATGAACAGGAACTGCTGTTGGGCATTGTACCCATTCTTTCCGTACCCATTTCGTTCGTGCCGATAGGAGGGCCAAAGACCTCGCCCAGCCCCCGGCCAGAATCCGCTCAAGCCTGGCCCCCGGGCCCTCCCAGCGCCCGCCCCGACCTTTGCCGAACCGCGCCCAAAGCCCAGGCGACGAGGCAGGGGGGGCTCCCCGAGGCTAAGTGCGAGGCAGGCGGAGGAGGAGGCGGAGGAGGAGGCGGCAGAGGAGGAGGAGGCGGAGGAGGCGGAGGAGGAGAACGAGGAGGAGGAGGAGGCGGAGGAGGAGGAGAACCAGGAGGAGGAGGAGGAGGCGGAGTAGGAGGAGAACGAGGAGGATGAGGAGGAGGCGAGAGAGGGAAGGGAGGAGAAGAGGGGAGGGGGGAGGGGGCGCGGCGCGGCGGATCGGGAAGCGCGGGCCCAGTCCAGCATGGGACATGCGGGCCCCGAGGGACGCGGGGGCCCCTGGACCAAGGGGCCTCCCCAGGGCATGAGACCCTCGCCTCCCGAGCCGTTCTCCTGACCGCCCCGGGGGCCCGTGGAGAGGGCCCCGAAAGCGCCCGAGGACGGCGAAGAGCCTCTTCCTCCTCCTCCTCCCCCTCCTCCCATCCCCTTGCACTCCTCCTCCTCCCCTCCTCATCTCCTCTCCCCCTCCTCTTTCGTCCTTCTCCTCCTCCTCCTCCTCCACCTACCTCCCCTCCTCCTCACTCCCATCCTCCCTTCCTCTCCTCACCTCCTTCCTCCTCCTATCCTCACTCCTCCTCCTCTCCTCTCTTCCTTCCTCCTCCTCCTCCTCCTCCTCCTCCTCCCTCCCTCCTCCTCCTTCCTCCTCCTCTCATCCCTCCCTCCCCTCCCTCCTCCTCCTCCTCCTCCTCCTCCTCCTCCTCCTCCTCCCCCTCCTCTCCTCATCCTCATCCTCCTCTCTCCTCCTCATTCCTCCTTCCTCCTCCTCATCCTCCCCTCCTCCTCCATCCTCTCCCTCCTTGCCTCGTCCTCCCCTCCTCCCCCTCCTACCTCCTCCCTACTCCCTACACCTCCCTCCTCCTCCTCCTTCCTCATCCTCCGCTCCTCCTCCTCCTCCTCCTCCTCCTCCTCCTCCTCCTTCCCGGGGCCCGTCGATCCCCTCCGGACCCGCTCCCCCCAGGGCCACTGGTCCGCTCTCGCGCATCGGGGGCGTCCTTCCAAGAGGGGGGCGTTCACAAGGGGAGGGGGGGCGTCCTTCCACGAGGGGGGCGTCCACGAGGGGAAGCGTCCAAGAGGGGGGGGGCGTCCTTCCAAGAGGGGGGCGTCCACGAGGGGGGGGGGAGGGGGCGCAACTCGTGGCCGGCGGCGAGTGCGCGGCCCAGGGCGCGGGGGGGCCGGGGACGCACGGAAACAAGAGGAGTCGCCGCGAAATCTGGGGAGATGTCATGGGCCCCCCCCCGCCACGATATCCCCCCCCTTGTCTTCAGTCGGGCATGCCCTCTACGGAGGAATATTCAAGAATTGTAAAAAACAAGAAAACAAAAAAAAAAAAAAAAAAAAAAAAAAAACACTCGGACGACGATCTTTCATGCTCTCCTGACTAGTTTCATGATGCTTGAACTGCATTTGAGAGTTCTCCTCCAACATCCGCCCCTGCAGGAAGCCATGCCCGACCCAACCATCATCATCACACCCCTCCTGGCCGCCCCCGAGCTCGGGCCCCTCGCCCTCCTCCTCCTCCTCCTCCTCTCCTGCTCCTCCTCCTCCTCCTCTTCCTCCTCCTCCTCCTCCTCCTCCTCCTCCTCCTCTCCTCCTCGGCTCTGTGGTCGCTTCCCCTTGTGGACGCCCCCCTCGTGGAAGGACGCCCCCCCTCCCCTTGTGGACGCCCCCCTCTTGGAAGGACGCCCCCGAGGCGCGAGAGCGGACCAGTGGCCCTGGGGGGAGCGGGTCCGGAGGGGATCGACGGGCCCCGGGGAGGAGGAGGAGGAGGAGGAGGAGGAGGAGGAGGAGGAGGAGGAGGAGGAGGAGGAGGAGGCGGAGAAGGAGGAGGAGGGGGGTCGGGCGAGAGCGGAGCGCGGGGGGGGCGCCGCGGGGATCGCCTGCGTGAGCCATGGGCGTGCTCAGCACTGCATGCGGAGCCGGGGCTGCGCCTGGGCCGGTGTCCTCTCGGGCGGGGCGCGCGCGGGGGGGCGGCGACGACGACGAGGACGACGGCGACGACGACGGTGACGACGACGACGACGACGACGACGACGACGACGACGACGACGACGACGACGAGGACGACGACGACGACGATGAGAACGACGGTGACGATGACGATGACGATGGCGATGACAATGACGACGACGATGACGATGCCATAGTCACGAATGCAGAGTGCGCTCAGCAGTCAACAAGCATCGCCACCGTCGTCGTCATCGTCATCGTCGTCATCAAGGTTGCGGAGAGGCGCCTCGGCCGCACGAGAAGCCGGGGGGCATGGAGGATAGGTGGAGAAGAATGGGCCGGGGGGGCCCGTGGTGAGGAGGGAGCATCCGCACCAGCGGTCGCCACGTGGGCTCCCACTGCAGCTGTTGGGTCCGCAAGACCGCCTCAAGACGGCCCTCTCAAGACAGCCCACACAGGCCTAGCTGGCCCCAAGACGGCCCAAGAGGCCCCCAAGACGGCCAGGAGGCCCCCGAGGAGACCTCCAGGAGGGCCCGATGACGCAAAAGCACTTGGCGTTCCTCAAGTGTGTCCATGTTCTCAGTGACGCACGCGGACTGCTGTGCCATTGGGGCCTTCGGTGGAGCTCCCTATGGGGCCACGAAACGCTGTATTGGGTGGAGAAGACGCATGCGGACGGATCCACTGGGGCCTTCGGTGGAGCTCCCTACGGGACCACGAAACATTATACTGGATGGGGGAGACGCATGTGGAGAGTGCAACTGAAACCTTCGGTGGTAGGGCCACGAAACGGTACAATTGCTGGTGGGGGACACGCATGCGGACAGTGCCACTGGCGCCGCTGGTGGAGCTCCCCATGGGGCCACGAGACCCTGTACTGGGTGGGGGGACGCATGCGGGCGGTAGCATTGGGACCTTCGGTGGAGCCCCCCATGGGGCCATGAAACGTTGTACTGGGTGTGGGGGGCGCACGCGGGCGGTAGCACTGGGGTCGTCGGTGGAGCTCCCTATGGGAACCAAACGCTGTACTGGGTGGGGGGACGCATGCGGGCGGTAGTGCTGAAACCGTCGGTGGAGCTCCCTATGGGGCAACGAAACGCTGTACTGGGTGAGGGGGACGCATGCGGGCGGCAGCGCTGGGATCTTCGGTGACGCTGTACTAGGTGGGCGGGACGCATGCGGGCGGTAGCTCTGGGACCTTCGGTGCAGTTCTCTGTGGGGCCCTGCAACGCTGCACTGGGTGAAAGAAACGCATGCGGGCGGTAGTACTGGAACCGTCGGTGGAGCTCCCTATGGGGCCACAAAACGCTGTACTGGGGGGGGACGCATGCGGGCGGTAGCACTGGGACCTTCGGTGGAGCTCCTTATGGGACCACGCAATGCTGTACTGTGTGTGGGGGGGGAGTGGGCCAAGAGGCCCCCAAGACGGCCAGGAGGCCCCCGAGGAGACCTCCAGGAGGGCCCGATGACGCAAAAGCACTTGGCGTTCCTCAAGTGTGTCCATGTTCTCAGTGACGCACGCGGACTGCTGTGCCATTGGGGCCTTCGGTGGAGCTCCCTATGGTGCCACGAAACGCTGTACTGGGTGGGGGGGACGCATGCGGGCGGTAGTACTGGGGCCTTCGGCGGAGCTCCCTGTGGTGCCACGCAACGCAGCACTGGGTGAAAAAGACGCATGCGGGCGGTAGTACTGGAACCGTCGGTGGAGCTCCCTATGGGGCAACGAAACGCTGTACTAGGTGGGCGGGACGCATGCGGGCGGTAGCTCTGGGACCTTCGGTGGGGCCCCCTTATGGGGCCACGAAACGCTGTACTGGGTGGGACGCATGCGGGCGGTAGTACTGGGATCTTCGGTGGAGCTCCTTATGGGGCCACGAAACGCTGTACTGGGTGGGGGGGATGCATGCGGGCGGTAGCAATTGGGCCTTCAGAGGAATTCCCTGTGGGGCCACGAAACATGTGATGGGTGTGCCAAAGTGAAGGGTGAGGGCAGAGGCAAGGAGGAGGAAGAGGGAGGAGGAAGGAGGAAGGAAGGAGGTAGGAGGAACGCGGGGCGCTGTCTGTTCAAAACGAGGACCCCACACCACAGAAGGTTTGGGAAAAATACCATGTGCCCTGGAGGTGGGAAGAACCAGAATCGTTCTTCAACAGTGAAGAGAGTAGCAGCAACAACAACAACAACAACAACAACAACAACAACCACAACCACAACCACTGCAACAATAACAACCACAACAACAACCACAACCACAACCACAACACCAACCGCAACAACAACAACAATCAAGTTAAGACTGTTCGCTCTTGTCTGCTCGCGTGCCACTCAACACTTATATCCCGAACCCTCGGTACCCGCACTCTTCGTCTTCGATCGTACCCCCTTGGAGGTAGAGCTAGCTACCTTATCTGCCGCGTGAATTTGGCGCAGCCCCTGAAACCAGGGGAAGAGAGGACGGATTCAAAGGGGAGGGAATGGGATGGAGCACAGGATTAGCAGGAGGGGGGCTAGGAGAAGAAAACACGTGGCAGAACCACACCGGTCCATCGGGCGGGTAGACCCTGACGCACGATTCGGAAAGGCGGGCCCAAGCGACCAGGTCGAGAAGGCGTGCTGCTGAAGCGTGGATACTTCATGAATCCCACAGAGAACTCGAGCGATAGCGCGATCCCAGAGTAAATCATGAGAAAAGCCACAGCGAGCGCGTGATTCCTGGGTGTCCAGAGCGCGGTGTCTGAAGAAATTGTGAGGAAGTCCAGCGCGGGAGCGCGATCCCTGTATAAATTGTGCGGAAGTCCCGCGCGAGAGCGCGATTTTGCAATAAATTGCGAAAAAACACAATGCGGGAACCGTTGTTGTTGTGGCCTGGGGCTGGTGACACCAAGCTTTCCCTGGTAGAAAAAAGGGTGCGAGCCCCGGGAACGGCACTTCTATAATTAGCCTGGCGAAGAACCCAACCATGTGTAGCTGTGAGCACCGTCGTTGTATGTACCGAAGTCGGAGGAGCTCCATATAAGGGCACAAAACGTGTGAAGAGCGTGCCAAAATTTATCTAGTGGGCGCATGCGACAGACAGCAGCCACTGGGGCCGTCGGTGGAGCTCCCTATGGGGCCACGAAACGTCTGATGGGTGTGCCGAAAGGGGTGCGGTGGGCGCTTGCGCACGCAGCCACTGGTGCCTTCGGTGGAGCTCCCCATGGGGCCACGATACGCGTGAGGGGTGTGCCGGAATCTGCGCGGGTGACGCATGCGGGCGGTGGCACCAGGGCCTTCGTTGAAGCCCCATAGGGCCACGAAACGTGTGAGGGGTTTGCTGAAATGGGTGTGGGGGACGCATGCGGGCGGTGCCACTGGCGCCTTCGGTGGAGCTCCCTATGGGGCCACGAAACGTTTCAGGGGTGTGCCGACATGAATGCGAGGGACGCATGCGGGCGGTGGCACTGGGGCCCTCGGAGGAGCTCGGGCCACGAAACGTGCGAGGGGTGTGCCGACAAGGGTATGGGGGACGCATGCGGGCGGTGGCACTGGGGCCTTCGGGGGAGCTCCCTCTGGGGCCACGAAACGTTTCAGGGGTGTGCCGACAAGGGTGTGGGGGACGCATGCGGGCGGTGGCACTGGGGCCTTCGGGGGAGCTACCTATGCGGCCACGAAACGTGTGACGGGTGTGCCGAAATGGGTGTGGGGGACGCATGCGGGCGGTGGCCCTGGGGCCTTCGGTGGAGCTCCCTATGGGGCCACGAAACGTGTGAGGGGTGTGCCAAAAGGAGTTTGGGGGACGCATGTGGGCGGTGGCACTGAAGTTTCCGGTGGAGCTCCCTATGCGGCCACGAAACGTGTGAGAAATGTGCCGACATGGGTACGGGGGACGCATGCGGGAGGTGGCCCTGGGGCCTTCGGAGGAGCTGCCCATAGGGCCGCGAAACGCGTGACGGGTGTGCCGAAATGGGAGGGGGGGACGCGTGCGGGCGGTGGCACTGGGGCCTCCGGTGGAGCTCCCTGTGGGGCCACGAAACGCTGTACTGGGTGGGTGAAGCGCAGGGAGGACGGGGGGAGAAGGGAGGAGGAGGGAGAAGGAACGCGGGGACCGTCTGTTCAAGACGAGGACCCAACACCACAGGCTGGTTGGGAAAAGACAGAATAGCTACTGGATGAAGGGGACCAGCAACAGTTATGATTTAGGAATGAGAAAGCAACAACAACAACAACAACAGCAGCAACAACAACAACGACGACAAAAACAACCACAACAACCACAACAACCACAACAACCACAACAACAACAACAACAACAACAACAACAACAACAACAACAACATCAACAACAACAACATCAACAACAACAACAAAAACAGTTATCCTGGCGAAGGACCCAACCATATGCAGTTGTGAGTACCGTAAGTGTGAGTATCTTCTTCGGTGGTGCCCACGAACCGTATGAGGGACGTGCCGAAATGTGGGTGGGTACACAACACGAAGGAAACGATTGGTCTAATTACGAGAGATTGAGCGCGGGTGGATCTGACCGCGAGTGAGTCTACGTATGAATGAGTCTGCGTGCGAGCGAATATATTTGCACGAATGCGATCATGGCTACGCCTCGTGTAAATGTATATGGGGTATGCCTGTGTGTGCACTCGTGACACTGAGCGTGGCCGCCGCAGAAAGCTTCCGCGGGAACCCCGGCGGCAGCGCCCGCACGCCGCGACGCCCATGTCGGCACGCCCCTCACGAGGATCGCGCCCGCTTTCCTTCCCGCTTCCTTCCCTCTTTTCACGTCGGGTGGTGGGCGACCCCCAGCATCTGGAACACGGAGGAGGTCGAGTCCGCGCTGCGCGAGAAGCGCAGCGACCGCCGCGAGGACGTGCAGCCTCCGTGCCAGTGCGCCCAGCGCACGGAGCTGGGCAAATGGCTGGACAGCATGCTGACGGTGCAGGAGTACATGGCCCTGGAGACCACGAAGACCGCGGCCAACTTCGACGGAATCTCCAAGGCGAAG